GGCCTTAACAAAACTTTTGCGGAATTCCGCCAAAGAATTTGGCTCGACTTTACGAATTTCGTTGAAACTTTCGTTTTTGACTTTTGGTCTGACTTGTTCGGAAATTGGAATTGCAGTCGGCGTTGGTGAAATGCCTGCAACAAGCGACTAAATAACCGACTAACCGAAACCCGACCGAAAACCCGTTCACTTTGCGCCAACACTGCGATTCATCACTTCTGTCAATGCAATTGTTGCGTTCGCGTTCGCGTTTGCGTTTGGCTCTTTTCACTTAGCCCACTTTGAGCACAAGTCGAATCGACGATTTGTCGAGATATTCATATAATTTCTACTCGATTTGGCATTCCGTCACCTCAATCGAGATGGGCGCGCAACAACGGTTAAATGCTATCCCAAGTGTGCTTTCATTTGCATAAATTCCAAGCGCGGACCGGCACTGCGTTGCGACTGTCTCACAGCTCGCCAAGAGTTGGACTGTCGGGCGAAAGCCAACGGCTCCGATGTCGACGCGGCGGGTGCGATCAACCAGTTTAGCTGGCTGTAACGTAAGCGTAAGCGGAACGTAACGGCTTACGTCTTGCCGTTGCAGAGAGCCACAGCTGTTCGCTGCGAGTGGAGCAGCTGCTGGCGCTCCACTAAGAGCAATATCCGTCCAACCTGACATTGACGGCGCATCGTAAACAGAGTGACAAAGCCACAAGCGATTTTCTCTTTTACACGGAAATTTGAAAGGCTAATGGAAACTGAGCGAGTGTGAAAAACCTAAACTAAGACTGCATTTAACCCTGTGCCGACTGTGGCTCGTCAATGTCGGCAGCTCCAAAGATTACAAATCTCCTCCATTTGTGCTTTATCATCATCGCGAACAATAAATGTCATAGCCCTGCACCATAGATTAACGGAAATGCCGAAGTCAGTCCGGCTGACCCAGCCAAATTGACTTTCGTTTTTGATGGGCAAAAACCGAACTGCAACTGCAGAGCCAAGACAGCAGATGCAAAAAATGCCCGTTCATTGAATGCTTTACGAGCCATTACGGAATAGCTTAGACCACCCCAGCTAGAAGAGCTACTTTCCCACAGAGGTGATTGCAGCCACGCCTACCTTTCAGTATGTGGCTCAAATTATTAGCTTAATGGGCAATTAGAGAGGCAACACGTGCGGCAAACGAAGACGTCAAGGAAATGCCTCCAGAAACCATCAATCCCTTCGATTCTGGTTTTTTTTAGCTAAATTTACTAAGTCATCAAGGCAGAGAGAGAGAGAGCTCATAAAAGCTTTGCATGCTAAATTTAGAAATTTCTCACCTTTTCCTGGCAATAAAATATACTTTGGGCTTAATTACAATATGTTTGTAGAGCTTCGAAAATCGATAAATATTAAAATGAATATTCAAATATTCATGCAATATTTATTTCGAATTATTCATCATTAATATGTGCGATCTGTAAAAGAAATATTTTAACATACAAATTCAATCATGAAGAGATGTTTAATATCATTATGAGGTATACTTTTGAACTACTATTTGTGAGGTTCGTTGACTCTTTATATACTTAAATTATTTGTAAAATTTAATAACTAAATATTCTCTTCTTCGTTTGCTCTATCATGATCGATCAGTATAATAAGATATGTTTTGATTCACAGCACGCAATCTCATCATTGAAACATCAATTAAGTATCCGATTAATTAATAGTGAAAATATTAATATATACAATAAATATTTAATCTGGGAAAACTCTTGAATGATATTAAAATATATTCAATAAAATTCATTATTCGTATCGTATATCGACAGCATTTTAAAAAGTTGTCCCATGAGTTAAACCATCAATTGCGGAGTTTCACAAACTAGTCCATCGACGTTGCTAAATCAGTGGGGTGTAGTATTTATTTATTGGCGGCGAGCGAGTTTCTTTGGCCGGTTTACGCACGAGAAAGTCATAGCCCAGAATTGTCCAACTAACCGGCACATTGTTATTAATTTCTGGTGACAAACGTGGCCATTGAGCCGTGTGCCCAACGACCAGAAACTGAGTGGAGCGGGGGCTGGCCTGGCCTGCTGCCCTCAACTTCGACCACAATCATTCAAAGGCAGCAAAATCAAATGGCAAAACGAAATGAAAGTTACTTAGTATTTGAAACCACAGAATCAATAACAGTTCGCTCTCAATAACTGAAAACGTGAACAATGGCTCAGCAATGGTTTTTTGTCTTCATGTTTGCGGCATATTCTATGTAGGCTGGAAAAATGAATTGTGGCATCAGCACGTGCAAATATTGGCCAACTCATGGGAAAGTGTCAGAAAGTCATTTAACATGTTTTAGCCAAAAAGCTAGCAACTGGTAATTGGCAAATCGGCAACCTGGCAGCTTGGCAACCTGATGAGAAAGAAACCATTCGAGACGCTTATCCACGGGAACAGCCATATGTTTATGAGCTTTGAAGTGGGCACGAGCCGTGAATCAGTGTGGGCTAGGATGGCATTGAGTCACTATCTTACAATATTTTGTGGCCTGGCAACCTTGGGGGGTGCAGCAACGCTCTGGCTCTGGCAATAAATCGCATTAGATGTTGGCTGGATGAACTCTGTCAATATTAGCGAACCTTTTTTACTCTCGGTCTCTGTGCCTAGCTGTTCATTAATTTCACTTTTACTCATAAATATGCTAATCAATGGCTCACGCCTCAGTCAAACCGCAGCGCAACTTTGCCAAATTGATTTTCACAGCAAATCTTTTTCGGCTGCTTTTTAGCTCTTACCCAAATCGTTTATTATGTTTGACACTTCAGGGCAGTTGGCTAAGAGTCTGGTCAATTTTAGAATGCCTAGGCCGTCAGATTGAGTTACGCAATGCGTTCAAGAAGAAAGTTAAATAACTTTTCTTTCCCCCTCTCTCTCTCCGTCTCACTCTCTCTTGTGTACACATTCCATTCGTCGCTGCGGCAGCTGGCCACAGATCTCTTGAGTCCACAGACAGTTTTTAGCATACGGCTGACAACTGTCGTTAGTGACATCATTTGGCCAGGCCAAAACACGCCACGCCCGGCAAATAAACAAACACTTTCACATATAGCTGCAAGTGCAGAGAGCGCGACATGTCCGCTGCTCAGCTGCCCTAGTCCGAAATTATTTAATTAAATTATTGTTATTATTGCTTTCAGTCGTGGGCCGCTCTCACCTTTTGTTGGTGCGTGTCCCATGCCTCGTCTCACTCGGGTCGCACGGGTATTATTCTTCACCGTTGGAAGATGCGTTGTTAATGACGACGATGACCCTTCTGCTTGGGTGGTAAGCCGCTTTTCCAGCCGTAACAATTAACGCAATCGTCACATTATTACAATTCAAATGCCACCACCGAGAGGTTCCGACCGCCGAGTTGAAGGCGTCACTCTTATGAAGGGCTCAATCGGAGCAGCTTAACCACATGCCTGTGCTCCGGCGGCTGTGATTGATGAGCTGCGTCTGGGTGGCTTATCAATACACTTACATACACATTTGGCAGCACAAACATTAACATTTGTCCTCAACTCGGCCCCAAAGTGCGGAATTGCGGATGTGAGGCAACATAAAACCAGTTGTCTGTCTGTCTGTCTGTTCCGTATTTCGGCTGTCACATAAGTATCCATATGTAGGTCCCATAGACTCTCATACGCTCGCATTTATATTTATCACTGTGGGCCCACATTTGGGCCGTTTAATGGCCCATTGCTCTTAACGTTATGCCTCCAACTTGGCTGCTTGACTCCATATCAAGTCGAGCCAACGACAACAGCCACAGCAACTGCTTTAAAGGGCGCTAGCCAGTGCCAAATGTTAAAGGTGTACCAGGTGTATAGCCAGACGAGCAGCTCTGCGTAATGTATGTTAAATAAATCACATTAGCCGCATACAGACCACAATAATTAAAAGACGAATGTCTGAAGGCATATACATATGCATGTATGTATAATCATATATATCAGACAAACCTTAAATATTCCTAATTAGCATCCAGCTGTCAACGACGATGTCTCTGAATGAATGCAAGAAAATGTTATATAAACATGTTTCTGCTACATTTTATTTTTATATTATTAGCATTTTTAGAACTTGTGTTTCCCAGCATCTTTATGTCTGTATTAAAATGCCTTCATGTATCTTGTTTTACCTTTTACCTTTGGACTGTTATTAAATACATACATAATGCTGTAATCAAGTGGGAATTTGATGTGAAGAGTGCTCGAGGCGGAAGTGGCACTTGCTCTAAACTCTGTACGAAAAGTACCTTAATTGGGACTCGAGGTATGAATGTATATTTCAGAAACAATTTACTCAGTCATGAGTACAGGTTGAGGCAAAAGTAATCACCCAATGTTTTTTCGTTGTAATTATTTTCTTGTAGGAACAACTTTTGCTCTGCGTGCAAAATTTGCTTCTTTAATCCGTTATTGATTCCATCAAGTCGAGAAAACAAGACTTTGTACCTATATGGATCCATTTTCCTTCCATAGACCGTCAATTTTGCCAGAGTATTAGTCGACAAGATTGCTGCTAGAAATTTCCAAGAGTCTGACCCTATTTCAAAAACTCTATAAGAATAATTCTGGGACAATCTGAGAATCGAAAATCGAGGGATTTGGCGACCCGCAAATAAACCAAATCAAATCTCGACTGCACTGTATTCGGCGTTTATTTCCATCATAAATGTCAAATGCGAATTGACATTTGCAGCCATTGGCAAAAGGGTGCCCAGAAAACATATATAAAGTTGTTGAAAAATAAAGCCATACAAATCAACGGAATGCCTTAAAATTCGACTCAATGATTCCTCGAGCAACTGCGCGTAAAAAGCATTTGATGTGTGCCCCAAAGAGTTACTCTCGCAACTGTAACTGTTCATTGGGCGCCCTCGAGTACAATCAGCGCAGCCCATGGAACTCGAGAAGCCAGCGAAATGAGCAACTATGAATTGATAATCCTTGCATAACCAGAAGAAGCACAAGTACAAGCAATGTTAATTAAAACATTTATTTATCTAATATTCGTTGCCAAACAGCAAATACTCGGAATTCATTATTGGTTGAGCTTAAGCTGAGATTAAATATAACAGACACGTCGTTAGTAGTATGGACACATTGCATGTTAAGTTATATTGACTATGAATATGTATATATATATATTATAAATTTATAACTCAAGGAAATACGTTCAATTGCGAAGTACGTACAAAGCCTTAGAGTGAAAAGCGTAAATAGGAACAAAGTTGAATAATTAATCATACTTTACATATTTAACATATATATTCACATATATGTGTATCATACATAGTAATCGCTGCTTATATCTGAGGAGTTGTGTTTGCGTTTATCAATTACCCGAAATTTAATTGAAGGGCTCGTTCAATTAAATCACAGTATTTGATGAAACCTAAGTGTACTGCGTGTAGTGTGTGTGTGCTTATATTGCATAATTAATGATGCTTAATATACATATATGAAGAGCTAAAGGATCTACAAGTACGTTTTACAGCTGCGAGCACAGTTATCCCGCCTAGACTTATATTTAGCTCAGCTTTGCTTTCGTTCAGTCAACATAGATGCTTACGCCTACACACAATATTCGTCTCTAAGTCTCTAAAACTAAGTTTAAATTTAGGATTTCGAAATGGATTATGGCTGCTGCACTCCTCCTGCTCCTCGCTCCGCTCCGATGCTCAGAGTTCTGGGTAACTCAGTTGGCATTAGGCATTGAGCTTGTGCTCAACACTGCAAATCGGCATTTTAGTAGTGTTGCCAAGCTGTAAGTGTGCACAAATGATGAAATGGTCTCTAGGAAAAGCACATCAGATGCACTTTTGTTTACTTGCGACTTAAATGAAAATTATGCTACAGAATCTCTAATACAAATGCAAATGCATGCAACCTGCGGCACTCTTTCAATTGCCTTTCACAAACGTCTTGCATGCAAATTCAATTATCTGGGAGCTCCGGGGCTCCGGCACGTCCTGCACAATGTCAGTGTCTCGTATTTATATTTACAAATATTTACATATACATATACATATGCAAATACATATACGTACGACAAAGCACAGAGACTGGCTTGCTCCTGCTTAGGCAGGGACTTAGTTTAGTTGGGTTAGTATTAGTCGGATTTGTGGTCTGTTTAAGGCGGCGCCAGGATGATCAGCTCCGACGGCATGGGATTCTCGGTGAGTGCCACAGACTCCGTGACAGCGCTGCGCGTTCCATTTCGTGCGTTAAAGTCGGTGGCCGCGATGCTAACGCCGCCGAGGCAGTCGCCATCGGAGGTCGCCAGGCCGCGCGTGGCGCTCTTACCCAGCAGCTGCAGCTCGCCCTTGGACAGGTCGGCTTCGTGTTTGCGGCGACGACGCGTTGCAGCTGCCTGGACGTTGCTGCCTGTCGTGTGACCATGGAGAGCAACATTAGTGGATTCAGTGCAACGACACAAGAGTTCTTGAAATTCTTTACGGAAGTTATCGTTGAGCCATCCATAGAGCAGCGGATTCGAGCAGGCCGAGCTCATGCCAATCATGTGGCATATGGCATACGCCACAATCATTCTCGGCGTGACGGCCGAGGGCCGTTGCATGTCCGCGTACAAATTGATGAAGTTCAGCGGCAGCCACGAAACCCCGAAAATGATCGCAATGCTAATCAGCAGTCGATTCGTCCGCTGCATTCGCCTGCCCCGCTCCGTCTTGCGCTGCGACGAGCACTGCACGGCGACCACGGTGATGCGGCTCTTCAGCTTGTTGTAGATGCCGAAGTAGGCGATCGACACTATCACTATGGGCACCAGATACTGCACGCACAGCGAAAAGATCGAGTAGTAGAAGCGGCCATCGCTCATCGGCCAGTCCTCGATGCAGTACGATATCCTGTGGGGCACTCCGAACTTCTGCAGCATCAGCGGCATGTCCATGTTGATCAGCTGCTTGTAGATGAACAGCGGCGAGGCCAGAATCAGGGCGAGTGTCCAAATGCCGGCCAGTATGGTCACAGCTCCGACGAACTGCAGACTGTCCCGCGTGGGATAGACAATTACCTGGGCAACGGGTGAGCAATTCGTGTGGTAAAAAAGTAAATGTTTCAAGTGAATACGTATCAGTTGGCCTTAAGGTACTTTGTCTCAAGTTAACCCATTCATCTGCCAACTATAAGAATCTGCTTAACATACGGAAAGTACTCAATGTAAACTAACGCATGCAGCGGAGCTGAAATCATTCTGCTTGGTTACACGCTAATTGACGATCTAAAAATACCATTTTGAACTTTTATCTATACACATTAAAAATAGAACAGATAAGTGCTATGACAAACATGAAAGGAAGCAGGAAGCAGGAAACAGGAAACTTTGAAAATTGTAACCAAGCTACCATCGCAATGCTAAAACTTTTGCCTGCCACTGTGGAGGGGGTAAAAGGCTATCTGAGAACTGTTGTGTTCTGGCTTAACGTTGTCCTCAAGAGTTTTATAGTTATCTTTGCTAAACCTTTCGCCACATTGCGCCGGAACACACAATTTCTTTCACGCTCTTTGACTTTTGATTAGAAACGACAAAACGCTTCGATGTCCGCTCTATCGATTTTTCGGATGATTCGGATGTTGTCATAGCAGTTGGCCACGATTACGGTTAATGTACAACGAGGCTACCAACCTGATATCTGTCGAAGGCAATCGCTGTTATGGATATGGTGGACACGAATATGCTCAGGGCCTGCAGAGTGGCAATCGTTTTGCACAGGGTGGCACAGGAGCCGTATGGCCAGAACTTCGAAAGGAGTTCCATCAGTGTCAGCGGCATGGTAACTAGGCATAAGAGCAGGTCTGCAAATATCCAACAAGAGGGCATCATAAATGCGAAATTTCAGGTTACATAACAAACCCACACACACACACACACACACACACACACACACACGCATAAAAACGCAAACAAATTGTCAACTCACCCGATATGGCCAGATTGAGTATGAAGAGGTTGCGGGCCGTGCGCATGATTGGTTTACGCAGTACTGCAATTACCACCATTATGTTGCCCATGGCTCCGAATACAATCAATACGCCGTATATGGCGATTAGCAAGTGGTACCACGGACTGCCGATGGAACGGTTGTGCAGATATTGGTCCATCAGCACTGGGTCCATACCTGCGGGCACATAGCTCCCGTTGCTTGTGCTGTTCAGCAGCAACATAGTCATGCTGTCGTTGTCGTTGCTGCTGCTGCTGCTGCTGTCTTCGTAGTTGCTGTTGAGTTTGTCGTAGTTGTGGTTCCTAGTGTAAGCACCGCCTGCATCAAGGCCAGGATAATTAACCAAATGTCGACTCTCCCCAATCGTATCAAATGTGGCGTCGCTCGAAAGTGCTTTATACAACTCGGCTGAGCTCAGAATTTGACTGCCAAGTTCAGTGCGGTTCATGACGATAATCTACACAGAGAGAGAGAGAGAGAGAAAGAGAGAGGGAGAGAGGGAGGGAGAGAAGACAGATACAAACAGCATGTTAATCAGTGCCATGCAAAAAGTGGGCATTTCTTTCGGCTTTGCGTGTGTGCTGAGCGTGATTTAAGTGCTGCTTCCAACGCACATGCCACACGCCCCCAAACAGGAGCAAGGCATTTGACTAAAAATACACAGCAGTCACTATCGCCCAAGCCAAGGAAAATCGAAAAAAAGGATGTGCAGTGCCTGCCGTTTGGTTTATGCTAAAACTTTAGCCCGCTATTGGTATTTGACGTGAGCCAAAGGGATTGAGCCTCGTTGGTGCTAAACCAAAGGCTCAGTTGCTCTATAAAACTTTGCCAGTTTTTTAATAAGACTTCGGGCTAAGTTATGACTTATTTTTATAGTAACCAAAATAAATCGTTTGGGTTTTTCATCCGTTCCTTTTATTATATTTCCAAATAAAATTCTTCTCAATCTATAATTATAGTGAATTCATTTCAGCAAGAGCAGAAACTGATTTTAATTAAAAAAGTTTGTTTGGAAAAAAAGCCTGCATTTTTTGTTGTTTGTTTTTTCCTATAAATTCACTCCACTCCCTGTTATGTAATCTGCATTAAATTTATGCAAACAACAGAATCGAAAATATTTGGTACATTACCGCACTTCGAATGCCCTGCCAAGTGTGTTTAAGTTATTGCTCGTCAAGTTTATAAGTCAGCTAAATATCTCTCACTTTTACAATCTGTTTTCCTTTATAAAGTCTTCAACTTCAAAATAATATTAAAAACTAATTTAATATCTCTGTAAAAATGAGCATCCGAGCTCGGCGACTCCTAGCTGGAAGTGAATCTTATAATTAACTTTAGGTTTCTATGAACTCATTGAAGCTCTATTTACACCACTTGCGTCATCAATTATGCGAAGCTCCCTCATTGACGGGCGAAGTGAAGCTCCGTCTCAAATTAAAGTTCCGTTTTGACGTGTTGCCATGCTCAGCATATTCGATACACAAACAATGTGAAATGGGCGATGCAGGAGGCGCTCCAATTATCTGAGCTGTCGCGAATACGCAATGGGGGCCGCATCTCTTTTATATAGCAGACAGGCCGGCAGCTAGAATCCATTCGATTTGTACTTGGGTTATAAATGAACACAATTGCTTAAGATAATTGCGTAATTTTATGCTCCAGATGAGCGTGTACTTATCAACATCAATAAACCGACGACGGAGACCTCCTGGGCAACATCAGCACATTATTCAGATTCCACAAAGTATGCAGCACAATCGGTTGACGCGATTAATGGGCTGTCTGTAAATCAAATGGGCTGGCTGCTCGCCCGACTCGAGGGACTCACAGGCATCCCAAAAGAGTTAATGCTCTCTAGAAATAGAAATATTGATTTCCCTTTCCCTCGACTCGGCTGATGCACAACATGAAAACGGAATTGCTGAAAAAAAATGCAATTTTGAAGTTTGCAAGTAACAATTCACAAATCTTTGCTGTGTGCATCAAAGTTTACAAATAGATTCATTTCTCATAAGGATTTTTTGTCCTCTGAGGCGTTCAAGAGATACGCCATGAAAAAACAAAAGCTGAAAAAGGAACAAAATATTTACAATTGTTAAGAATGTTCAACAAGGCAACAATAGAATGACAAGGTTATACACAAAGTTTGACCAATTGTTTTTTGGTATTTTTTTCGCAGAAACAGGCTCAGTCTCGGTTAGTCATTTGCAGAGAGCCGCATAGATGGGCGACAGGATGAAAATTGAGTTTTCATGTCTGCGAAGCTGCTTCACATTCATTCTACAATTTGGTTTTAGTTTCTATTATAGAATGTTTCTTTATTTTAGCTTTTGCTTGGGTTTATCTCTGTGGGACGCTTACGAAATGACTTTTTCCAAACTTGATGACAAGAAAATTATGTAAAGTAGCCTCAAGTTCATAGAACTTGTCATGAATTTGAATAATTTTCAAACTGTCAACGTGGCTGGCGCAATGCGTGGGTCTATTTGCATTTTCACCCTACGACAACTCCACGTTAAGCTGCGTGGTAAAGATTTTAAATGCCAAAAAAATAACAAAATGTATGTAAAACAAAAATAAATAAAAACACCCACAAAAAATAAAATCAAAATAAAACTCGAACCCATTTTTCTTCTTAGCTCTGCCATTTTTGGCTCAGCCGCGTTTGTGATTTATCTGATATGTTGGCAAGTGGGCGGGGGCCTTCCTCGCCTTTCAAAGCCATTTCCATTGCCTTTTGAGCAACTGCTGGGCTTAAGCATGAGAAATGTCTCAATTTGATAAGGGAAATGTAATGCATTCATACGCGAAGCCCGGGCCTATGAATGGACTCGATCTATTAATTGGCTGCGAACGTGTTTTTCAGCTAGAGAAAAGCTCTTTCAAAGTGTAGTAAGAAAATGATTTGTATATTTTTTCCAACAATTAATTCAATTTTAGCTGAGCATACAATGTGAATTGACAAATGGAATTTGGGACAGCATAAGTCCCGTTTTTCGTGGTCAAAAAAAAAAAAACAAAAGTGGGTTAAGGCAAAAGGATTTCAATGTTTAACCAAAAGAAGCCCAACTGTAAGTTAATTAATTAAATTTAAAGCAGCTTCCACAGAGCATCTTCGTACCACTGTCCATCTGTCAACCTGTCAGAGGCTCTATGAATGTAAAATGAAACGATGCCAACTGCCATATGGCCAAGTATGTTTCGGGATGCCCTACCAAGGAACGCACGTAAATTGCAAAGTAAGCGAAAAGTTTTCGCCTTCCGATGAAAAACAAAAGTTGAATTGCGTTTCTAGCTGACATCTCATTTGTGACGGCTTCTTGGGAAGCATTTATATTGCCATTACAAACATAATGTGTTCACTCTCACTCCCTGTTCTGCTCTCTGTCGCTCCCACTGGTCACTGTCGTGAGGTATGCGCCTTTGTCTGTTATTAGCTGCATTTATTTGAGACTGTCTTCAGCAGTTGTGGAACTTGCTGTTGCCACTAGCATTTGTCTCCGGCCGTTGGCAGGAGACATTCATTTAACTTGCAACATGAAATGCACGCAAGGGACTTGTGCCTTTTGCTTGTTGCTGTAGCTGTAGCTGTAGCTGTTGCTATTGTTGTTGTTGTGGTGTGTCCTTCTAGCTTTTTGCCTTAATCCGTGTCGCACCATATTTTACTTCAGCTGCAAGGCACCAAATGGCACTTGAGCTGCGAATGATGTTATTGCAAACATTTCAAATAAATCCCTGCGTTTTGTGAACGAATAAGAGGATTGCTTTCTAAGACTCCCAGAGTCATACGCAGAGGGGATCTAAGGGATCTATATTATGTACATACATTTAGCTGCTTAGCTTCTCTATTTTTATTTCCTCGCAATGTCATATAAATATATGTATGTACACATGCCCATATATATGTATTTTCTATTGCGCTTTATAAAGCTGTCATGTTACCAGCAGGCGACAAGTTAACAAACTGTGAAAATGCAATTCTTTGACATGTCAAATAAAATGGAAAATGAAAATACTTACATCGTCGCACAGTGACTGGTGAATGCGAATGAATTTAAATACTTGCTGACTCTTAACATTTCTGGCTTGCATATTATTACCTCGACAGCACTTAGCTAGACTGCCGTATCCGCCACTATACCCATTAAAATTATAAACAAGGATGTGCCAGCGCTCACCTAATCTAATTAAGGCACTAATGGAACCATGCTGTTCAACTCCTGAGAGAGCATATTAATTTATTAGCTGCTTCGCGTAAGCTGGATAAATTGTGGAAGCTAAAACTTAACTATATTACAATTTACGCATTTACTTTTTAATGAAGTTTCATAATTCGTAAATTATGGGTAACAAGCTATTAAATTTGCCACAATTCCTACGAGTATTTACGTTTTCCATGGAATATTTATCCTTTTTTAGAGACTGTCGGCATTTCGGGCTACTCAACTAACTCTTTCTAATTGACCTAATTAGCAGAGAGCTTAAATTAGCATGGGCAATACGCCAATCCGGGACATAAGCCTGAATTCTCATTATGCTGTTTACTCTAATTAATCGTCGTTTAGCCAACTCATCGAGTGCGCTGCAATTGGCCGCGACCGACAGCAAAATAATTATCAATGGCTCGAACGCAGCAAAATTTGTTCAAGAATCGATTTTTATAATTTTCCATTATCACAGTGGGCGTGCCACTAGCATTTCAAGTTTCTCTTTAATGGAGCTGACGAAAATACATATTCAAATGCTAATGAATATTTACTGAAAGCTACAGACGATATATAAAATATATATAGAAGATATAGCGTTCAAATCTTTGTAAAATAAAATAAGTCTGATAGTTTCTAATTTAGTGGCGAAATACTCATAGGAAGAAAGAGAGAGAGACAGAGAAGAAGAAGAACAGTTAAGAGTTTAGTATCATTGTTCACATGTAGATTATCTCTTGGACTTCATTTAAATGAATGAATATGCATTGAGGGTATAATTTATATTATATGTTGAAAAATACTCCCACAACACACAATAATTGTATGCCTTTGTTCCCTTTAACTGTGCTTAAAGTGCGGAAGGAATTAATAAATTTGACAAACCAAAAAATAAACAATGAAATGAAAATTAATGAAATTTCATGTAAATATTAGCCTCATTCCACACACTCCTTCAACATAAAAAGTTTGTCAATATTATTCAAGGAAGACGATATTTTCCTTGAGAACAGATTTCATGTAACTTTCAAGCATCACTAAATAGTTCTCTGATAAACTATTGAGCTCTTGAATAGTTTCCATATGATTATTTTCTTTATGCTTCCGCTAAGAGTACGAATTTTTCACACAGTTTATGGTTATAGGGAACACATATCTTTCCACAATTAGTTACGAATCGAAAGCGTTAATGCTTCGCTCAATTTTCATAATTTTTCTCTGGCGCAATGCTTTCAGCTCACTTATACGAACTTCCGCTCTTCGTTTCCGCAAATCCACATTAACCGAGTAGAGCCCCAACCGCAAACTGTTTGTTTTTCCATTATTTGGCACTCTGCATAAATTCCGGCACTCAAATCAGATTCCGCTTGAGCTACAATTTTCTTTCAAGATTAACTTTTCTTGTTCATATTTGGAGCACTTGGCACTAGTTTGTGTTATGCGAACAGATAATTACAATCGCGATGATGAGGTTTGGCTGCCGCACACGTCGGTTCGCATTACGCCCGATTCCCATTTTGATACACATTTGGCACATTTGGCCAGAGAACGGAATACAAACTCAAATAGAGACTCGAGTACACAGAATCGCATTCACAATTCACAATTCACAATGGGAAATTGGAAAAGTGGCGTCCGGCCGATTATTGGCAAATATCCGCGTACCACTCGAGCTATTCTCTGAAATTTTCACGCCTTCGATTTTTTAATGGCGCCGAATGAAAAAACAAACAAAAACATTTTCACACATCTTGCTGGATTACCTTTTCTTTATTTGCTCAATCATTCTCCAACTGCGAATATAATTCGTATAAATATTCAGCATTCTGAATATTTATAAAATATATTTATTTATAATTTTTGTGATTTTTTTTTTTTTTTTTTTTTTTTTTTTTTTTTTTTTGTTTTTTGTTATTGTTTTGCTTTGATTTCCAGTTTTAATTACTTAAAACATTCCAGTTGAGATTTGTCGATCCCGATAACTCGGCGGGTGAACAGCCGGCGACCATCTGTTGGCTTTTAGTGCACAGTCCTAACTTTTATAGCACTGCCCCTAAACACACTTGGAAGCGCCGAGCACTGCTCGTTGCGTATACGCTGCGTGAGCCCGAACTTGCAACTGAACGTGCCGCGCACGCTGTCTGCTTATAGGCGAATGCTTTCGGGTTTGTTTTGGACCAACAGCTGTGCCGAGCTTTCTTATCAGCGCAGCTAGGGGTTGAAGCTATCCAAAAAGCTGTCAGCACAGTGGGGCAGAGCATATTATTATGATGAGTTTGTTTATATATTAAAGGTATAAGCAGAAATATATGTATATGTATATCAATTTATATTTATTTACATATATATATATATATATAATATAACCCACACTCTTACTGCTCATCGAGCAGCCCCCTGGCATCGAAGAATGGCAGCAATTTGGCTACAATACCCTGTGCTCTGACACCCTCGTACACCGAGTCCTGGAAACTAATTGCCTCGGGCGTGTCAATATACAGTTTACAAAAGTCTGGACACTCGTTGCCGTTGTAAATCATGAGAGGTTGAAAGACCAAACCTATTATGACGCCTGCATAGGAAGAGAAATTCTGCTATTAGAAGTTGATATGGAATTGGAACACTTACAGAGAAATCTGCGTCGCTCGAACTGCATTTGGAGGTCCATCAGACTGGGTACCTTGCCCTCGTAGTTGAACTGGCCCAAAGCACGCTTTAGGGCATAATAATAATACTGAACCAGCTCCGTTTCTCTGGCCAGCACCTCCTCTTGCAGCGAGGTGCAGAAAAAGTAGTGAAGGTCCAAAACTGGAGGGCCGAGGGTGCTGAACTGAAAGTCTATGGGCAGCACTGCGATTGGTTGCTCGTTCGCATCGTATTGGAACATAATATTCGTAGTCCAGCAGTCACCGTGAGTTAAGACCTGGAAATCGTCGTCTGTCACATCGAACACACGTGCTGCGTACTCCATGAGACTGACCAAGAGACGCTCCAGCTTGCCATAGTAGCAAGCAGATAGCTTGGGCTGTGTCTTGACGTAGCGCATCAGCCCCTTAAATAGGTTCGTAAATACTTTTGAGTACCCCTGAGGTCCGCGATTGAAGAAACTGGTAGTAAATCCCTTAGCAAACAGCTCGGGCTGCTGTTGCCTTAGCATCAAAGAAGCGGCATGAAACTTGGCCAGCATTTGGAGCGTGAGCTGAGTATGTGCCAGATCCAGCTGCTTCACACGATCCGCGTTCCGGTACTTGAGCGGAGCTAAGTCCTCCAACAGCATAATGCCATGCTCCCTATCGATGCAGACGGCATGCGCATGCAGCTTGTCCTCGACGCCCACCTCTCGCAGCAACCGCTGCATCCTGGGCAGGATAAACTCGTACATATCCATCTCGCGAGTGTATACGCCGTACTCGACAAACATGCCCGCCTGGGGAGCGTCGTCTGGGCAGCTTTCCTTTAGCAAGTATGTGCGCTGCTCGACTGCACCGCTCGTCAGCTCGTATTCCACATGAATGCGGGTCACCACGCCCACATAGTTTTGTCCCTTGGCCGTGGCTGCATTCGACCACAATTTGCGTACATTCAACTGAGGATCCTTGTGGTAAGCCTTCAGGTGAGTTTGCAAGTAATCCTTGGTCAGCCAGCAGGGTAAATCGGAGCTAGCCATTTCATAGAGTTGGGTCTGGCTGATGCCTGAGAACTAAGAGAAATTCGCATCAGAGATCTAGCTAATATAATGACGTTCTATCTTATCACGTCACTTTGCACTTTATCATTATATTATGGAACGACCACTAAAGTGTGCCGTTAATATACCACAAATATTAAAAATCTTTATATGACCCGCCATAAGTATATGTAACCAAAGTTAACGCGACCACATCGTCTACGTTATATACCTGAATATAATATATACTCTCTACTCTTTGTATACTCTGCTCTGAAAAGTGACCAAAAATATATCCGTATAACCATGACGAAGCTAATTTTCTTATCTCTAATGATACGATTTTGAGGTGAGTACTGAAATGATCTACTCAAAATATGTTGTCTTAGGACTTCAGCTAGTTTCTCTCTCTCTCTCTCTCTCTCTCTCTCTCTCTCTCTCCGACTCTTTCAATCTCTCTCTATATATATGTTTTCTTTAACTAATCTGTTTAACTAATCTCTTTCGCTATCTGTCCCTCTCTCGCACTTTGCATCTGTCTTTCTCTATACGTTGTCTTACGCCTTTAACTAATCTATATCGCTATCTGTGTCTCTCTTTCTCTCTCTCGCTCCCTGTCCATTTTTCCCTCTCTATCTCTCTGGATATGTTGTATTAGGAGTCCAGCTTATTTCCCTCTCGTTCTGCTCTCTCTGTCTCTCTTTCTGTATGTTGGCTTAGGACTTCAGCTAATTTCTCTCTCTCTCTCTCTCTCTCTCTCTCTCTCTCTCTCTCTCCCCCCTCTCTCTCTCTCCTTCTTTCCGCCTCTCTCTCTCTCCCTCGCTATCTGTCAGTCTTTTAGCATCTGTTATATATATGTAAATAAGTTTTCCAGATAAAAATGTAATTGTCGTTCTTTTCAAAGGTCACTCATAGGTCTTCTAGATGAGAGTGCTTCCTACATTGCATTTTTGATTTCATCATTTTTTATTTCTTATTTTTATCTATATACAACCCAATGATTGCTTCACGCTCGACCCGAGTGAAAGTTCATTGTAAAAGGTTTCTTCTCAGCACTTAACTGCATAGCGAATTTCTATTGATTCATTATTGGACACTCAGCTTGCTTATATTATTTTCTGGCCCAGGCTAGGCAACAGTTGCCGCTGCAAATTTAGCTGCTGAGGTGGATCACTCGTTGCCCGCCTCCAGTGCGGCGCTTATCATCTGTGTTTGCCGGGCGCTTAACTGCGTAGCTTCAGCTGGCTGTCATAAATGGCGCAAACAGCAGCAGAGCTCGAGGTGGCTCGGCCGTCATCCATCCAATCAATGGCAGGGGCAACAGCAGTAGCAGCTGCTGCTACATCAGCAACAACAACAACAACAGCGACAGCCACAGTGACAACAGCAGCAACACCTTCTAAATCATATTTACTCAACTAAAGCATTTACATATGTACAGGGAAGATAGCGCGGAGGCAGTCTGTTACTCAGCTAGCCGCAAGTTGTATTTATATTTTAATGGGAACCACTGCGGTACAAATAATATAAACATATTGATTTTGGCGCTGATTGCGTACTTTGCTGTCTTCTGGGCCACTTTTTCGGCAGCCAGAGCAAATTGTTGGGTAAACAAAAGCGGTCCGCTGATAAGGCGTAAGTAAACATACCCCACCACCCTCTACTCACCGCACTACCGATCCACCGACACGCCGGCATATTTGTGCAACAGTTGCTAACATTTCGTTTATTAAATACTTGCTATTACTTATGTAAATTAACGTTTATTAAGTTAAAACAATATCAGCGACGACGACGACGACGACGGCGATGACAATTTTGCTAGGGGCGGGCGCACGCCTGGCACGAATCGTTCACACGCCAGGGACCTCACTGTAATCGCTTGCTAATCGTGTCCAAATAGTTGTAGCCATGATAGGGATTGCTCGTCCTGGACCAGTCCTTGCTGTAGCCGTTGGCATTGACGTCGTGCGCACTGGACGGACTGTAGCTGTTGGAGAAGCTGCTGCCCAGGAACTGTGAGTATTCCGCCGGATCGGAGTCGTAGACGTGCGAGTGGCTCTGCACCAGATGCGGATGAATCTTGCACAGCGTCTTGTACTTCAGATAGTGAATCAGCCAGCCCGTGCCGCCCACCAGCAGCACGTTCATGCCCAGCACGCCGAGCAGCAACGTGACCAAGGTCATCTTCAGGTGAGCGATTTTCATCAGGATGATCAGCGGCAGCAGGATCAGCCACTTCTTCTTCTTGCGAGCACCACGTGGGTCTGCGTGGAGAAAGGCGTTAATTAACCAGCCTCGCATTCGGCTCTTGCTACTCACCACTCTCATCCATTACCCGGGCGGATGTGCCTTTCGGCAGCGCCAGCTGCACTGCGTGATTCCGTCCGAACGTCTCGACGGCCCGTTTAAGGAACTTGAAAATGTTCAACAGCTCACTGTCGCCTGAAAAAACATATGAAATAAGTTTAATTGTTTTTTTTTTTTTTTAATTGTTTGTTGACCTAAGCACTATTTGCTAAGCGAACAGAAACCTCTAAGCGAGAAAGCTATCTGTGGGCTATGAAGAAGCTTTAATACACTTCTGTGGATCACACGAATGTGGATCCATGGCATTTTAAATAGAAATAACAGAAATGGCTGAGTTTCATTGAGAGATTATGATTATGATTTCAAATCAAAAAGATCTATAAACGTATATGATATTCGCGAGCCTATTGCTCGACAGCTCAGCACAAAAATAAAGGCATGCCAATATGGACTCGACTATTATTAAAGATGATATGCACAAATAAACAATTTCTTCAGCAATATCTGCTTCTAGGCAGCATAAATACATATAGTCTCGCGGTGCAGGAATACTCTCGAGAAGGGAATTTGAAGATACATAAAAGAAAGCCAAGTTGCGTGGAAATTAATTAATTAGATGAGCGATAAACATCCGCGGGTGTTTATCACTTACTGAGAAGCGATAAAGCGTGGGCAATATACAGTTGCCTCTATGCGATGTTTGCATTCCAAACAAAATGTGGCGCACCGCAATTGTTGCTGCTGCTGCTGCTGGTGGTGAAAACAATGTGGCCAATAGGCCAATCTCTCGCCACGAGCAGTTAATTGCCTTTGCTCTGGCGGCCACTTTCCCATTCGAATGGCAATCAAAGCGCAGGTTGAGACCCACCTGCCAGGCTCTTGGCGTCGTTGAAGACCACAATGTCGTCGGCTGGTTCGCCGAGCTGCACCAGGCGCAGAAAGCGCGGCTGCTGTTCGCCCAGCACCCGCTCGTGCTCGTTGGGGAAGAAGCCCATGCCGTTGGTGGCCAGCTTCCAGATGAGCTTGGATGCCTTGTACTTGATGCAGGACATCAGATTTCGCGTTTCGAAGCACTGACGCTGATTGCGCGCTATGTAGACATCACTCTGACCGATCAAACCGCCGCTGGCGCGTGCCGTTTCGACATTCACTTGGGCAGTGGGCTCGGGAGACGGCGAGGGGGCTGGGTAGGGGGTGGGATATAGAGGTGCCTCTGTTGGCGCTGGCTGAGCAGGAGCTGGTGGTGGTGCTGCTGCAGGCAGCTCCTGTGAGCTGCCGAAATGCAAGAGCAGCAACAGCACCAATGCCACATAGGCAGCTATGCTCCAGCGGGAGAGCGACATGTTGCTTGGATAGTTGCGAGTCTTTGATTTTAGCGCACTGCGAAAGACCACCGCACGGCTGGACGAGTGAAACACAAATGGAAACTGAAGGCGACCGGGTACTCCTTTTATCACAAAGCATCAACCGCATGCCGGCTAACGAGCTGCAACAGTGGCACCGAGGCACAGCCACAGCTAATGCTCATGCTGCATGCTGTATGCATCGAGCGGCATGCACCGGAATTGAGATTCCTGCCTACAAGCAGCAACAGCATCGACTGCAGCATCCAGCTCAGAGTCGAAGCCAAAGTCAATGCCGAAGCCAGTGCGTCGCTTTCTGGGTCAGAGCCAGAGCCAGAGCCAGAGCCAGAGCCAGAGTCGGAGCTGTGAGCGTGTTTCGAGCCGATCATTGAACGAGCAGCAAAAGCATTCACAACAAATTGAGTCGCGTCTGGATTATGAACCAGCGACCGGCTCAATGCCTGCGACCAGCGTGCGACTGAAAGCAAAAGCCACAAACGTGAATGCCAAACGAAAGTGAATCCCGAGCCGCTAACAGATACTCGGCTACACACACGGAACGCCTTGGCGCCATTCAGGCCTTGGCCTAACAATGCCGAAGCCAGCAGCTGCGGCTGCGGAGATGCCATGTAAATGATAGCAATCAGAATAAGTGCGAATGCATTTAAGTGAGATTAACCCGTGTGCAGTAGCACATGCATATGGCTGTACACTGAGAGAAACGCACTGAATGAAATTGGAGAGTCAGCTAAATAAAATACCATTTAGATAGATACAAGATGAGTAAAGTCTAGTTACAAGCGAAAATATGTTTAGATGGAAGAAGATAATTTAAATAGTTGATTAAGTTGTAAAATTCCTTAATTTAAATAGTTTCCGATTTTCGAGCCAAAAACTGGAAGCTAAACAAATTATCTATGCAAAAAAATACAAAGATTTTCTTTTATGAAGTAACAAAGCTGTTCCTTTGTATAATGAATTTTAGTTAATTATTTATTTTCAAATTCACCATCAAGTAAGAAGAGTTCAGCTCTCAGTTCAATTTCAAGTTCACAAATTATGAGTAGCACATCCACAGTTCTCTTGAGAACAAGTAATATGTTTGTTTCTCTGAGTGTAGCCAACAAATGTGCGCACTTGAGATTGGTCAACCTTAGCATCGGCGTGCAATTTGCATATTTGGGCGAAAAAGTGTGCTTCAAATTGTTGCGAATTATGAATTGTTTCAGTGCGAATACAAATCGAAGTGGCAGTTGGAGATGGAGTTCGATCTCGATCTCGAGTTGGAGACGGAGATGGAGTCGAGGTTGGAGACGGAGTCATTGAATCTGACCGTCTTAATTACAACGCAGCCAACGTTGCCACGCGAAAGTTGTTGTTGCTGCTGTTGCAATTGTGATTTGTGCTGATGTTGCCTCTGTTGCCCCTGTTGCATTATTGACCAGTGAAAGTAACAATTGGCGCAGTTTGTCGACTGTTTTTATGGCATGCATAGCATGTAGCATGTAGCATGTAGCATATGGCATGAGGCATGCAGTGTAGTGTCCCCACTGTCTCGCATTCTCAGCCAGCTAATTAATTAGTCATTGTCAGCGGCTGGCCTTATTGCTCGGTCATGAGGTAATCCCGAACGAAGCGCAAATTTGACTGATTTATAGAATGTGCTTCGTATGCCTCGGCGAAGGTATATTAGATCTCGCCAGCTGGCAGCTGCTGGTAGAAAGTTTGTTTGCTATTGCTGTAAACATTGTGTTTAGGCAGCCGCAAAATAGTTTTTTTTTTTTTTTTTAGCCTAAACTTAGCCAACAATGATGATTGGCCCCAGATCAAAGTCGGAGCGGCTGATGGCTGCATATCAAATCATGTGGCACACGCAAACGTGCGAGCATTTTGATGGACCGCCCGGCCGCCGAAAAGCGACTTTTACGAGACTTAGATGCCATCGAAGCGAATGCGCAATTAAACAAATTAAAGCCGAGAGGACTTTGCCTCGGAGTCAACTCGCCAACCAGCCAACTAGCCAACAAGCCAACTTCCAACTGGCCAACTGACCAACTGGTAACCGGATGGTCATTTTATTATTGCCAGGCTGGAGGCTTATTAGTGTTTCCGCCAACGAGAGTTTGACTATTATTAATACGTTGTTTTTTTATATTTTTTAATTTTTATCACCAGCTGAAAAAAACAGTGAAATTTTGTTGGTTGACCGGACAATTAAAATCAGCCACTAAATTTCAATGTCAAGATCAGATAATAGGACGTTAGATTCTCTATAAATAGTGCATGCGTCGCAAACATAAGTGGCCAAATATAAATTGTATGATCAAAATAGCATAACATTAAGTGTTTGCTTAATTTTCCTGATTGATTGAAATGTTTTTCGGTACTTTTTATTTCTGTGTTAGGCAAAGTAAATAAGACAGATGACCTTGGACTTGTCTGCATTGCTATAAACATATATGGAGCCCCATGTAAAGTAAGAGGTAAATTGTTAAATTAACTAAATTCGTCAAAAAAGATCAAAAAATCTTTAGTTTGAGCGGGCCACAACGCGCAAAAACCAACTTCAAGTCGAAGAGAAGATCAAGTTGAAGATAATAAAAAATATGTTAGTGAAGTGTCAGAAATATAATCAAGTCAAATAAAATCATTAAGTTCATCATATCAAAACTGGGCAATAAATTTAAATATTTAGGTATTTGCATTAACAAGAGGTGATATACTATGTGGACCCTCTCAAACCTTTCGGCAAACTGATTTTTCAGAATGATATCAATAAATTATTTGATACCATCTATTACTCACCATACATACATACATATATATAAGAAAACATATGCATACACATACATATCTCTAACTTTTTCAGCGTCTAATCGTATTGGTTTTTGTCTACGCTAAAAGTACTCCACAAATTCCTTTTTGAGTCAAGTGCAAAACATTGCTATCTGTGGAGCAGATTCAACTAATCGTTAAGTATATACAATGGTTGCTGTATTCGCTTGCCGTAGTATGAATAAGTACTAAAAAAAAATGTACAATAGGTGGCAGTGCCATCGTACTCCGAAACTTCGTTAAGTGTGGAAGCTGAGTAAGCACAGAGTTGCGCTGGGTGCGAAGTGCGCTTTGTGCATACGGTAAGCCGATGCAACAACCACAAAGCTTAAACAATAGATGTCGCTAGGCTTCAGTTAGCAATGAAACAGTTAAAGATGCAACATTTTAATACCCCAACTAATTAATTATGGCTTAATTAAATGTAATTTAATCTAAGTAACATATAGAGCACTCATATCACTGACTCCTAAGCATCAATTAATATCATACAGATAAACTATAATACCATATTCTTGCCGCTCCTGGCCCGCAATAGGCGCATGATCAGCGAGTTCTTATCCAACCCGTATATCGAGGTCTGATCGCTTTGTGTGCTCATGGGCTCATCCGACAAATAGTCCACGTTGGATGTTGTTGATGGATCGCTTACAACTGCGTCTTCATTTGTTTTTGTCGTAGTTGTTACTTCTATGGTTGTGGTTGCCTCGACATCATCCGCTGTGCTTTGGTCCAGGCTCTCGCTGGTTGCAACATCAAAGATGCTGCTCGTGGGTAGATCTGTCGAACTCTCCTCCGTCTCTTGCTCAGGTGTGTATTCAGTGGCGTCTTCGATGCTGGGGGGCGCAGCTGTTGTTGTCGTTGTTGTTGTGGTTGGCGGGGCTGTGGGTATGTATGCTGTTGAGGCAATTGGCGCCTCTGTTGTGGATGCTCGAGTGGTTGCTTGCTTGGTTACGGCACTTGTGGTGGACTCCGTTTCGATCGTATTTGCTGTTGCGGCCGTGCTGTCCATCATAAAGAGTATTTCGGTATCGGCTTCAATCTCACCAAAGATTTCCGCCGCAGACTTAAGGTCTAAATCTAACAACTGCGCATTCGCAATGCCTTCGAGTGTGTTTAGTGGTGCTGGAGTGGTGGTGGACACAGTGGGTCGTGGCGTGGTCAGAGCCAGTTGCCAGCTGTACTGCGCATACTTCTCACTGTACGCCTTCTTATGATGCGGTCTCTTATGATACGCGTCCTTGCCACTCTCCGGCAGCAGCGGAGTCTGCCAGTTGTCCTTGGCGGACCACGCCTTCGCTGTGAATGGAGCCTTGATGGGCGCTGCTTTTTCTGCCTTGCCGCAGCTGTTCGCTTTGTAGCCTTGGAAGACGATGGGCTCTATTTTGCGTATCTTGCGGTTGCTCAGATCCTTGAGCGTGGGAGTGGGCGTGGGCTTGGACGTTGGAGTTGGAGTTGGTCGCTTGAACTTCCTTAGCATGCGAAGCTGCGAAGGAGCAGCTCGTGTTGGTATACTAGCTCGACGTTTGCCCCATGATCTAGGTCTGAATGTGGTTGTAAACAAGGTGTCATTGCTGCTGCCGCTGCGCCTGGTCGGCGGCACAGCGTAGAGCATGTGTGGTATGCGCGCCGATGGCTTGGGACTGGGTGGGGGCAAATTGTGAGCCACCTCGTCGGCGGGCAGGATGCACTCGCCCATGTGCGTGATCTTCCAATCTGTCAAATCGAGATGCCAACTGTGAGAAATTTGTGGCGAAATGAAATAAAGGCTAAACCTACTGCTATTGGGATCCTTGCAGCGCACACGCTCGAGGTAGCACTCGTTGATGATGGTGTAGCTGATGCCATTACGAGCCGCGCAGACCGGGCTGTATTTGCTGGGGCAGGGCTTATCGCAGCGCCGGCAGCGGCCCTCATACAGAATGGTCCAGGCTGTGGAGTAGTTTTAATTAGAGTCGCTGGCCAAATCCCCGACGGTTCAGTGCTTACCATTGCCCACCGTTTGACTGAACTCCATCAAAGCGCACACATTGTCGAAAGTGCGACTCTCGCCATTGAAGCTGCCGCAAACGGGTTCATTACTGAACACGCAGGGCTTTGAGCTTACGCGCCTGGCTGGCTGCAGCTCGTTGCCATAACCAGACCGGGATTTCATTGGGCTGCTGTCATAGATACGCCGAGATAGGCTCCTCACCCTGTCCGACGGATAGGGCTTGCGCGCGGGCAGCGAGTAGCTCTTCTCCATGATGCCCGATTTGCTGATGAATTGGGTGTGAAATGTGGAGGGTGCAAAGATTTGCACTGCATCCTCGGCCATCTCGAAGTCGTCCAACTGATTGACCTGCCTGTAGCTGCGCTTGCTGCGCTCCATCTCCGGCCTCGGCTTCGTCTTGGGCTTCCACTTGCGGCTGTGCTTCATCTTGGTGCTGTCCTCGCCGCACAGCCCCTCGGACACGATGCGCCAATCTGCAAAATCGTAACTTGAGCATCTATCGGGCTAATCTCTTACCGTGCGCTTACTTCTGCCCGTGCGTATGTTCTCCGCGTTGACCAGGCACTCGTTGGAGAAGGTTGACTTGACGCCCGCATAGCTGGCACAGACCGGCCTGTAGACATTCGTGCAGGGTATGGGCCGGCGACGCTTGCGACGACCCACGAGCACGGTGTGCGCCGGCTGCTTGGGCTGCTTCTGGCCATGGGGACAGACGCCCCACTTGTGCACCAGCCAATCGGATCTGGTCAGGCAGCTGGTGCGCATCATCTCGCAGCGGTTCCGGAAGCTCTTGCGCTCACCTGTGGCAACGCTCACGCCGCACACGGGCTGAGCGGCGCCCTCGCACTCCAGCTCGCAGCTGGGCAAACAGTTGTGCAAGGGGACATCAACTACAAGCGGAAGATGCAAGGAAGCTGGTTAAGTTATCTGACTCCACAGCTATAGCTGGCTTGGCGACTTACATAGTGGTCCGCCCATCAGATTTTCCCGCTGCGCCTTGCGCAAATCGCACTCGTTCTTGAACAGCAGATACTCGCCCTGGCTGCGTCCGCACATGGGCGTATCATCACTCGCGCACAGCATCGTCTCATGGTCCACAGTGGCAGCTGCCGCCGCCAGCAGAGTGAACAGAGCCAGCAGCCTAGCTGCTCGCCCGGGTTCTAAGCCAATCCAAGTCATGTTCTGGTGCATCTGCAGTAACTAAGTTCAAACTAAATGCAATTGGAGATGCGTTCGACTCTTTTATACCAAAGCGTGACACATGCCGCTGATAGAGCACCAAAAATTGTGGCACTGCCGAGTTGTTGTCGACACGTGATAATCGCACACGCACACACGCGAGAGAGATGCGAGATAAGTGCGCAGATAGAAATATGCTAAGCTGCTGGCATCACACATTGCATTCAGCTGAAAAAAGCTTATCTCTGGCTCGATATGCCAAGCAGCTGCTACACATTCAGCAAGCACTAATTTGATATTTCACTGTATCACAAAACATAATTGTAAAAGAAAATAGATATCAAAAGATTTTTTATCAAACCACAAACAGAAAATTTTATTTTAAATGGCCAATTAACACTTTTTCTGTCTGGGAACAATTAAAATATATATGATCAATTTCAAATTTGTCGCCAGTCTTAGAGTTCTCTTTCCTCAAAGTTCGATTTCTTTAAAGTTAAAATTAAATGAAAATTAAATGGTTTCAGGCTCAAAAAGTGGTTTACTAATGATTATATTTCTAGTAATTGAGAAAAGTTTTGATTTAGTGAATTAGATATTCGATTGGGCTTTTACTTGGCGACATCGAGAATCTTGTTGCGGCTTTTGCTACGTGATTTCTTGGCGATTTTGACGAAGCGGCTCGAATCTAGATAAGACTTTAAACTTGGCATTTGCATTGATTGTGCGGTCTCTGCTGCTGATACAGCTGCTGCTGCTGGTAGCATTTGGAAAAAGTTTATAACTTGTCTGAGTGACAACTATTTGGCGCTGGACTGTGCTGTGACTATCTTTTCCGCACTTCTGCAAACTGATTATGGTGCATTTCGAGCTGCTTATCGCCCCAACGGCTTTACTCATGCTGCACTTCATGCCGTATCAATAAAGTTGACCAAGCTGAAAACTACCTGAATTTAAGTTGAGTTCAGAAAGAGAGAGAGAGAGAGAGAGAGAGAGAGAGAGAGAGAGAGAGAGTATGTGTGGGTGAGTTGCTTTTTTTATACCATTGAATGAATTTTGTGCAATCGGCAATGGAAATTCTCTAATATCCGGCCGATAAGTGGGCGACGCACATATTCATTCAGCAAAATATGTCGAGCATTCGCACGCCTGCAGTCGAGATAAACTTTAATCTGGCTTATCGAAGTTGTCTTTAAGCCAAGAGGCGTGAGTGATGAGCAGATATGCATTGTAAATTCAATGTTGTTATTAATTAGTCTCCAATCTTTGGGCAAATGCTTTGCTCATTTAAAATTTAGTTTCTGTCTACTTCAAAGTCATTCATCTCAGGGAATAAAGATAAAGCGCTGGGAGGGAAACTATTTCGATTAAATTAAACAGGCTTTCGGTTTCATTGGCAGCGATTATTAATGCGATAAAAGTTGATGAGGCTGGTTTAGCTTATTGACAGCAATAAAAATCACTTGCATATTTGTCAAACTGATATACTAGTTTGCCTGCATAGAAGCACACATGCATGCAAATGGACACGCTCTTAGCGATTCGACTCGGGCTCCATATATCTTGGCTTGACTAAGGCCATCAACTAAATTAATTTGCGTTTTTAATAGCCTGCAGTTTGAAATGTTTAACTGAAAGCTCGACTCTCTTTGCATGTTAACCTTTGAATTAACACAATGAAGTCTAAATGTCAAATATATTTTTCGTTAGCACAAATAGCAGACGGTTCGTTTTGAGCTGCATTTTAAATATAAACAAATATACATACATTTATAATACTTATATACACATGTGTGCAGCGGAATTTGTACTCAGGATATTTCAGCTGTCATGTTCTGTCATTCATACAACAAATTTTGCTAGTCGTAATATGTGTATATATTAATTTTTTGGCTTCAACAAATCCAGTGACAGAAGCTTGAAACATGTGCAAAAAATACTGAATACCAGAAGCTTGAAATCGATGTGAAACGGTTTCATGGCAACGGAATATCTTATTAATTTATTTGAAAGAAACTTGATCAGCGCGTGCTATAGAAAAACCTAAGCGTGCATAACCAAGGCTGTGACTCTGAGAGACTCTGATGTCGTTGCTTCCTACAAAACTCCGAGCTGCGAACGGACGGTCAGAAAGACAGACAGACAGATGGACACACAGACAGCTCTGCAAGGACAAATTTTCTTGACTCTTGATTCTAAACAAGAAGAAGGAAAGAAGGGATCAAACTTGGCTTCTTTTGCCTGCTACACATACAGTAGAGTTCCGATAGTTGGAAATGGCAATGAACAAGTTAACCAATGAGTTTTTCGAGGCTTTCAACATAGCGAGAGACAAAGTATCGCGACTCTATTGTATTAAAATTTAAGAGTACTCCCGCATTCAATTGGTTCAGGTTACATAAACGCATACACATTTACGCAGAGCTAATCCACACTAATCCTATTACGCTCTAGCAGCCCCATTAGTGAATTGTAATGACCCAAAGCTTTTATTAGCCAAAAGGCACTTTTTAAGGCCATAAGCATTTGTTAGCTTGGCAGTCTAATGATTGTTGGGATCAATCCAGCGTTGGCCACTTGGCTATTCTTGGCAAATAGGTATTGGGATCTTGGCCGATTTTCGCGTTGACATAATCGTCGGCGAATCATTACGAACATTTCGTGCCGATCTGCTGGCAGCTGCGCTGTGCAAGCCATTAGAAGCCAGCCAGAAGCATCTTCACAGCTCAACGCTAATGGCCAACGATTTGAGAACAGCCATAGAAACGGGCGCCAAATTGCAAAAATTTAATAATGCGCGCCTAATGGAAAATACCCGTTTGCTCTCGAATGGCCCGCTCGGAGCTGCAGATCACGAAAAGAAAGCCATTGTGAGCGTTTGCTGAATCTGAGCGCTGAATGGAGTGCGCCGCATAACTAGGTGAAATGTGAAAGAGAGGGAGAGAGAGAGAGAGAGCGTGCAAATGAGAGACAGTGGGAGAGCCCGAGTAAGCGGCGATCATGGCAGTGTCTTGGATGGCTACTTGCTTGGCAGCTTGGCTGGTTGGCTGCTTAGCTGCGGCGGTGTGGCTGCGGTCTTTGGCAGCTTTGTTAGAGCAGCGGGAAAAAACGCAGCGCAGTCTAACGACAAGAGCTGAAGCAGAAAGACATGCGACGACGGGTGCAACGGCCACCAGAGTCAGTGAACGCAACGCATTAAATCAAAGTTACAACAACAACAACAAATACATAAAACATAAAAATTAGTGAAGCCCACTCAGAGTTAAAACTGTAGATCTTCAGATAATCCGACTTTAAGGCCCAGTGTTGAAACATAAACATAGAGCCCTAGATAATTGGCCCGTGTTGAATATGGTTGTGCAAAAGGCAGCCACGCCCACACTGCCAGCCGCAGCGGTGGCAGACGGCCCGGGCAACTGCTACATGCAACAGTATCAGAAATATGCCACACACTGCGAGACGGCGGACAGCGGCAACGGCAGCGATCTGGAGAGCAACGGCGGCCCCGTACAGGCCACACTCATCCTAACGGACGACAGCGAGGAGAGCGAGCCCTCCTCCTTGAACAGCGACAGCCTCAACTGCAGCAGCACGGAGTACGTGCGTCAGGCAGCCGCCAAGCCCAGCGGCCAGTTGGGACAGCGCCAACGACACAAGTCGCTGCGCATGCTGGGCACGCTGCTGCCGGACTCGCTGCTGCGCGACATACGGGACAGACGGAGTGCGGAGTACGTAGTTCAGTTCAGCAGCCCCGTCGAGGTCAAGGACAAGCCGCCAAACCGGCAGGCCAAGGTAGTGACCATAGCTGAGCCAGAGACAGAGAGGGAGACGGAGGCAGAGACAGAGACGGAGGCAGAGTCGTTGCGCTTGTCGCGCGAGTCGCTCAACGAGGCGAAGATCGAGGAGCTGCGCGCGGCGGTGCAGCGAGCCAACTTTGTGCAAACCGGTGAACAGGCACAGCTGGCAGCCACGTCGCAAACGGACAGCCGCAACAGTAACGGTAACGGCAACAGCAACAGCAACAGCAACAGCAACAACAACAGCAATCGCTGCAGCAGCAACTACAAATATGCGGACGATCAATACTACAGCTTTCACATAAACGAGCACGAGAACTTCAGGAGCTTCGTGCGGCACGGCGACCAGCGGGACGCGGCAGCCGAGGATGAGGAGCACGACGTGTTCGCTGGCTATCGAGATGTGCGCAGCAGCGCCAGCTCGACACAGTCCACAATACGCTCCGCCAAGGGAACGGTGCGCGGCGTTAAGAATCGTGTGCGCAATGGAATAGCCACGTTCTTGCAGCTGCAGCAGCAGCCCAATGCAAAGGTGAGTTGTGCAACAGTCAATTTCCCACGCTGTGTCTACATCTGTGTGTGTGTGCATGGGTGTGTGTGTGTGTGTGTGTTGCCCTTTATTGAGTCACCTGCTGTCTAAATTATGCAATCACAGCGCGCGCATCTCTTGGCAAATTGTTTACCAATTGCACGCTCCATGGGAGAAAGTGCTGCCAAACAATTGCCGTTAGTCGTGCTTGCTGTTGTTGCTCTGGTTGCTGCTGTTGTGTGTATCTGTATATGTATATCTTTCACATTTGGTATTTATGTCTGTCCGTCTGCTGCTTGTAATCTAATGAGCCACGAGTCTGGCTAACACCATAAGCACTGCATCTTTTCTCCATTCTCTGTATGTGTGTGCGTGTGTGTGTGTGTGGTGCGTGCAATTACACACTCGCATGTATAATGAATACCGTTAAGTGGCTTATTTTGTTGTCGCTCGCTTGGCTATGGCTTATTTAGATATCGGTTTTGTGGTGCTTTGCCACCAGTCGTTGGTTTGGGCCAGCGGCTTTTTTGCTCTGTCTATTTTCTGTCCGTTTGTTTTTCACCTTTTTATTTTGTTGTTGTATTTTTTGTTGGTTTTCTTTGCTCCCAGTGAGATAAATGGTTTAGCTTGAGCCGTTGAGCTGCTAATGGCAGCGCTCGGAAATTGTGCAGTTAGAAAACTTCAACGAACAACAATAGCAACAACTAATCATAGAAAGTCAGCAGAGTTGTTCGAAATTGTCAACATTTTCTTTGGGGCGGGCGCTGAGATCTCATTGTGAACGAAACGAATCAGCAAGTCAATTAATGAAACAAGCGAGTGTCATCTAACTAAGATATGATTAACATATTTCCCTGCCTCGCTAAGTATAGCGAATGTTCGAGATCAGATGTCAGCAATACCCCCACAGACATTTATTTATGCGTGTGTGCGATAACCATGGCGTATTCAGTATCCACGGGAAGACGTAGATTACATTGCTTCGCAATCAAGTGCACTTCCTATCGCCTATCGACATATATTATTTAACTCAATTACATCCAGCTCATACGAAAACTCGATTCGCGTCTTTTTTATGGCGGTTAATTGCCCATTCGCCATGCAAGAATATAGGTAAACAAACAAAAAGTTAATTGATATATGGTTGCAAGAAAACTCGGTTCTCGAATCGAGATATCTATCTTTGACAATGGAAACAGCTCTGCAGCTCTGTCAAGTCTCAAGAAAATACTCTAAAGCTAGAGTCGTAAGCTTTAAAATTTCTGGCATCTTCTCTTTAGAACATTGTTTAAGTCCAATTACTACATCATTCGTTTGATCTAGATAAATAAACAAAGTTTGTAGGCAGGAACTGTAAGTATAAATATAAAAAAAAACCCAGAAGCCTGTTTAGTTGATGTCATTGTTAATGAAAGTGTAAATAAAGTCTCAATTGTATTCAGTGCATAAAAAAAATTCATATCACGGCACATCTAGTTCTGTGAGTCTAAAAGTTAATCAGATTGTTTTATTCATTAATTATTAAATCAGTAATTAAACACATTCAAGTCGCTCTTCAAGTTTCACATTTTAGAAAACTTTATCAGATATCGTCAAAGCATTCAAATTCTGAAGGCTTCAATCATTACATTCGTAGACAGTTATTTCAGCATTTTATATCAAGCATAAAAATCAGTTCATCCACAAAGCTGATGGAACTTTCCGTTGCTCTGTAATGCTATAGATGGGTTTATTTGGGGTTTGTTTTTTTTTTTTTATGCTCTTTAACTTTTATTATTAAGTTAGTCAGCTGTGCGCATTTCACTTCCACCGAAGACCCGGAAATTTCCCTTTATCTATTTTAATGCTCAGATTTAAGATCAGTTTAATTGTTGGCTTTGTTGCGGCTGCTGCTGCTCTTGCTTTTCACTTTCAAAGCTATGGAGCTTGACTCTGGGGGCCAGATGATGAATTCTATGGAATGCTGAAGAGCTGAAGAGGCGAACAGATCGCCATAAATTGGCTAAATGCCAAAGAAAAGAAATGTGTTTTATGGCTTTATAGCGGCTCACATGCAAATTGGCCAAAACGAACTAGAGAAGAAGTCGAGCTTAAGGCCAACGCGCTGCGATCCTCATCTGCATAACAATCGCGGCACTCAGATGCTGCTAATTACGATGCAGTCAGCATGCGAGCAACGGGCGGCAGCAGTTCGTATGCAGAGCAATCGGGCTGAATCGAAAGTGAAAATCTGTAAGCCATTGTTTTGAGGATTTGTTGTTGAGTTTTAGATTCGATATTGGTGGCAAGCGGAGCCCTGCGATTTATGCCCTGCCTGGACTGGGCAACTGACTTTAAGTCGTACCTAATTAGAGCAAACTGCTGTCAAATTTGCTGTTGCCACTGTTGCTCACAATTAAAAATCATAATGAAACCAACAATCATGTTGTTGCCTTCGTTTTGTCACCTTCGAGAAGGCAACAACAGCAGCAGCAACAACAGCAGCAGCAACAACAGCAACTGCTACGGCTGTCCGATGTCCGCTGTCCGCTGTCGGCTGTCAGCATTAGCCTCGTATCTGACTCCGCTTGTTGCTCAACTCTTCGATTGCCAATCATTCGAACCGACTGCTGCCTCTTTGCTGGCCATACAAGTGACCTGCTTTCTCTTTTTACCAATTCATGCGGCTGCTGCGGCTGCGGCTGCGACTGCGGCTGCGGCTGCGACTGCGTCTTCGTATATGTTGCGGCTGCAGCTTGACATAAACAGAAACAAAATCAAAAAAAGCAACTAACTGTGCTCTAGTCAATCCACTGATCCACTAGTAGATACTCTGTAGCAATTTCACTCCAAACAGCAACCAAATCGAACAGACACGGAAACACTTTCTGTTGTAACTGCTTCATATTCATCTTCTGCATCAGCCCATTTTAAGACCTAGCGACCTTCCCGCGCTAAAATTAGCTAATTGAAACAAACGATCTCACTTTGAAATTAGCTGCTAAATAAGATCTCATTTGATATGTATCTCAAGACTGACAGAATGAGTTCGGCCAACAGACAGCAAGATGGGCAGATTGATGTGCAGATAAGCATTCAGACTGGTTTCCAGCCTAGAGCAAGAATACCAATAAATTATATAGACACAAGTTTATCTATCCGCCGACTATACCCTCTTTCTTGCAAGTATAATTACAGGGTGTGTGAAACTGTTACTGCCATGAGGTTAGCCGTGCAAATCACGTGTGTTAATTGTTTGTCTGTCTGGGTGTTATTTATTTTTTGGCAACTCACAAAATCGCATCTTAAAGCCTGCATGCTGACAACATTTCGTGTTGCAGCCAGGCGAAACGTTAATCAGGCTCAGCGGGCGAAGTGAATGGCTGGCCGCAGAGGGGCATGACAGGCGGGCGGGGAGGGTAAATCCTCGGATTTTCACCAGGGACACTCGTCGGCTTGGAGTTGGAAAAACCGCCTGGCGACATCACAGAGCGACGTTCACCGCATTGCACAAAGTGACTTTCCATTTGACCGCAGCTTGTTTTTGTTTTGCTGCAAAGTTTTTGGCTCGAGGCTTTGAACTCTATTTTGTCATTATTTGAGTGAAATAATTTTCACAATATCCCAGCTATAAATTAACAAACATGTATATTTTTCACGCCGACAATGCCAGATAGTTCGACACAAAAAGAAATTTGTATTTTGATTTTGGCAACATCATTTAAGAGCGTGAATAGTTAATTTTTTATTTTATTTTATTTATTTTTATTTATTTATTTATTAATTTTTTTTGGTTGATCTGCATTTGTGCAATGCTGAGCAATGCTAATTGGAACAGGTCTCAGTGCGCTGCCCACTTGAATCGAGTATTTGTTATCAAGTGCGCCGTGGTCTAACGGTCTAATCTCGAGTTTAATGCATTTGCCTCTGCGAATTCTCGTTGGACCGGTTTGCAAAGCGGGGGATTTGAGACTTATTTCGGAGTATACCCACGTTCGTGACTGCACTTGTACAGTTCATTGATACCAGCCGTGGCTCGGCCGGCTCGGTGCGCTCTGTTGGCTGAAAAGCGGTTCATTATTTAAAGCAGACGCCACCAAAGTTGGCCAACTAACGGAAATGTTAATTGTCAAATGAAATGAGTGAACCCGAACCGGTTCAGCGCCGGCCTTATAAAATAAGCCATCATAAATAGTCGGGAAAACGTCGCATTTCCATTGTGTGCTGTCAATTGGCTAGCAGTTTTTCCATTATTGCTTAATTGAATTGATTAATAGGATTTGGAATGACATGCAGAGTCGTTTGGTTACGTGAGGCACCACCAAGAGCTAATGAACCCAACAGGTTGTAAGCACAAGAGACTAGTGTCCGAGCCGTCTTTACATTTGGCTTTATTGCATACAAAAGGCCCATTGTCTTTGCGGCTGGTTCTGTCTTCCAGAGATTTCTCCCCCGTTGAAAGCGGAAAATGTCGCTGCGTTTTGTATGGATTATATTTGGTCATGGTAATTGTTTTATGCTCCGTTCTTTGCAGCCTCATTTGATCTTCATTTGGTCTCGCCCCATTCGGGCCATGACCAATGTCTGAGCGCTGTGGCGAATTCTGTGCCAATTTCAAGCATTTTATTTTTAGTGACCTGCTTTTCCCGTCCGGCTAGAGAACTGGAACTAACATTCTAATCTGATACCTGTTCCTACCGTTCGCAGTGCTTCATGGAGAAAGACCTCGGCAAAGTGGTGCTCTACACGACCAGCATGGGCGTCATACGAGACACCTACACGAAATGTGCCAACGTTAAGCAGATACTGCGCACTCTGCTGGTCAAGTTCGAGGAGCGGGACGTCTTCATGAGCGTCGAGTATCAGGCCGAGATACGGCAGCGCATGCAGACCTCACAGATCCGGGTGCCCCAGCTGTATGTGGAGGGCCAGCACATCGGCGATGCGGCCACAGTGGAACGCATGAATGAGTCCGGGGAGCTGCGGCAGCTGCTGAAGCCCTACAAGACCATCGCCAGCAACTACACCTGCCAGACCTGCGGCGGCTATCGGCTGCTGCCGTGCCCCTCGTGCAACGGCTCCAAGAAATCCGTGCATCGCAATCACTTCACGGCCGAGTTCGTGGCGCTCAAGTGCATGAACTGCGACGAGGTGGGCCTGGTCAAGTGCCACAACTGCTGAGTGGAGAGCAGAGCCTTTCGACCATATACATAAAATTATACAGACATATACTCGTATTTAGCACTTAAGCGCGCTATTTGCATTTTGTATAACCCCTAATCGTAAGCCCAGTTTAACTTAGTCAACAACAACAACAACAACAACAAGAACAAACAACAAGCATGCAAACATACTAACTAACCATGTCTAGATCTAAGTAGTAAATAGTTTTGAAAAGGCAACCTCTGTGTTTTATTGAGTCTCGAAGTGGATTTTGAACTATGTATTATACTATATATATTTATGGCCAGCAAAGTAATTATATTTTATTATAATGATATGCAATGATTTTTGGAGCTGATCTCATTTAGATCTGCCTCTGATCTGTCTTATGTTTAATATGAAATATTGTTGATCCGATTTATATGTCATGAGAACAGAAAGTTTAATTGATAAAATATATCTAATATCTAATATATCTTTTTCTTATCAATTATCATCTAAACAAAGATGAAGATCAGTTCATCAACAGCTTGCAGTAAAATAAAAATAAACAAAATAAGCTTTATATTTTGAAATTTTAGTTTACGCAAAGTTAAACAAATTGTATTTCAAGACTTTAAGGATTGATTTGAAATGGCTAAAGTTTGAATATTCGTTCGAAATTGCAATCCGATTATATATGTACTTTGCACTGGGCCAAGGTGTGCACACCCAATGCCGTTAACCATGTCTGATTGTGTTTGCAGTCTCTATCTCACTCACTCGGTGCTGCTATCTCTCTCTCCTCATCTATTCCTCTTTGCTTGGCAATTATGTAAACCTGCTCCACTCAGACTCCGCACTGACCGTGCAATTTTCTCGCGCCATTTAATTTCTGCCAGGCGGACCTCCGCCCCTCCGCCTCTCGGCCTTTCGACACGGGAAATGGCTTCCTTCTACGGGTCCAGCTCAGACGCCTGCTCCAGCCTCAGCTTCGGTGCTGGCGGCCCAGTCGGCCCATTTGCTATTGCCATTTGCTTTTGGTGTCTTTGTTAGTTATTGTTATGGCATTTTTAAATGTTATTTTCCACTTGGCTCACACTTGTGTTTAACATGCCGCCCACACGCACTCCGCCAGCCAGCCAATCTGGCCCGCCCAACTGACCAGGCCAACTGACCCTCAGCCAGCAGCAGCAGGCGCAGCAGGAGCAGCAAACCCTTTACATCGGCGGGTGGCGTTGGTTAAAATTGTTGTGTTTCCGCATTTGCTTGTTGGCGACTGTTGGCACTGCGGCCCGGATCGTTAAATTCACAGGCGGCTACATTGTAATTACCAGGCCTGGCGACCCGTCGAGCGACTGGCCCAAATCCTGAGCCAAGGCAGCTTGATTTATGCGCCAACAGCGACGCTGTCGGCTTCACCGTCGTCGGCGTCGTCGTCGTCGTCGTCGTCGTCGTCATACGCAATTTTTCATAAACAATTTGGCACAAAAACATACACACAATATACCGCTGGGCGTGTGGGAGTGGGAGCAGCTACGGCGGCAGGTGGGTCGGGTGGCTGCCAAAAACCGTGCAATATTAAAATAAATATTGTAAATGCCGGTAATACGGGCAAACAGTGCCGTATGAGCAGCTTGTGGCCACAGCAGGACTGGCAGAACTGGCAGAGCTGGCAGGACTCGCAGGACTCGTTCGACTGACAGCTATATGGCAGGCACTGGCTGTCGCCGAGCCTGCACTGCCTGGCAGTTAAACCTTTTCAAGGCACACGCCCCTTCGCAGCCTTATGTGGGGGCTGGCATTGTTAACTTTATCCGAGGTAATTAGTTTATGCGCGCAATTTCATGTGCATTTCGGTCATTAAATATCATTGTTGTCGTTGTTGCTGTTGCTGCTGCTGCTGCTGCTGCTGCTGCTGCTGCTGTTTTTTCCAGCTGCTGTGTGCATAGTTATTATTTTGGCATACTTCCCGGCACCGGCTTCAATATGTAAAGCGCACGTCGAAGCTTACAGTTAATGCTGCATACTTTCCGGCGCAGGTGTTTAAGTCCGCCCACTATAAATTGTGTGGGCTGCTGGGGGCGGGCTGGGAGGGGGGCATGGTGCTCCCAATTGGCGACAAATAAAATTAGGAACACATTATGTTTTCGACAAAAACTTTGAAATTGTTTGGCCCCACCGACCCGCTCCAGCCGACACCACTCGGCCACTCGGCGTGCCTTGGAGCTCATTACATTTACTGGGGCTGGGCCACAAATCACGGGCAGCTACTCAACGGATTATTAAGTGAAAATTATGGCACTCCTAAGGCTCATAAAGCATTCACAATGCTCTTGGCCACGCCAGTGGCGGCGGTTAGTTACATTTTTTATTGTCAAAGCATTGCTGATGTTGTTGTTGTTGCTGTTGCTGTTGCTGTTTTGCTGCTACTGCTGGCAGTGCCCTAACCCATTTGGTGTCTGCCATAAAACTAACATAGCTCACATTATGGTACAGCCCCGTCAGCCAGAGACTTTTATGCTTTCAGTGTGTGCATAAGTTTTAATCTGCCTTTGTTACAATCCGTTGGCTTCGTTCACTATGTGGTTCAACTGATGATGCCCCTACTCCTGCTGCTGCTCCTGCTCCTGCTGCTGCTGCAGTTGTGGCCACTACCAAACGAAAGACCGCAGCGAACCACACTGAAGCCCGAATGCTCAATCGCAAGAAACCAAGTAGAGACCAAACGCTTTGTTAACTGAGAATGCGCCATCGATAATGGCCGCTCCTTACAGCATATCACAGCTAAAGGCATTTTGTAAGATATGTGTGAAGTGGTTGGAGTAGCCCTGGGGACACATTACGAATTTCTACACGTTCTTTCTGCAGCCCCTCTTTGTCTTTAATACACGTCCGTCCCCAGAGAGAATCGGGGCTCTTTACCTATTCACCTAAGATCTTACACTTGTTTGCCCTCATCAGGAGAGTTTCAAAATTCTAAATAATTCCTTAATATACCTTATTTTTCAATAGCTATCTTTTCTCATAATTCATATTTTTATTTATTTAATTAAATTATAATTGGGTTAAGATCTGACCTGACTTACTGTGAAAAAAGAAATTGTTCTAGTTCTTACAGTAGTTAGTAGTAGTAGTTACAATAGTTATTCCCAGTGAAGGTAATTATATTCTCAACGACCTCCAAGAATGGCATTAAAATCCTATTAAAATTGTGAGTTTACATTTATATTAAATTTTTTAGAATAGTTTTCTCGTTTTATTTACTTTGTGCCTTTAATTAAAATATATATATAAATATTCTTAATTTCTTTATTTATAATTTAGTTCTTATCTTTTGAAAGAAAACCCGCATTGAAACAGATACTGCCAAGATTTCTTGGAACTTTCGCTGGTATAGAATAAAGTTGTACTTCAATTTGTGTTACCAACATCATTAGCCAGTTTTTATACCCTCGGAAGGCAGCCAAAAGTGCAAAACAATTCACAACTTGTGCGCAGTAAATAAAATAAAAGCCAAAAAAAAAAAAGAAGACTGTGAAAAGAAGAAGCTAAAAGTAAGTAAACAATTGATTAAAATTTATGCACTTTATCCGCTTGAACCGCACACACAGAGCCACACACACACACAGCCACACGCAATCGAACTGTTTCTATAGAGATATAAGAGAGCAGCAGACATACGCTTTTATTGAAACTTTGCCTTTCAGCTTATCTGTGTGCCTCTGTGTGTGCCTATGTGTGTGTATGTGTGGGCGTGTGCGGCTGGGTAAACAGCATTTTGATTAAATTATTTTAATAGTAAGTGAGAGATCTATGGTAAATGTATGTATAATGTAAGAATCCTATCTCCTACATCGCCTCCTCCCATGCACACTCGCACACACACACACACACAGCCGTCCCTGCCCGATCCTACCCTACCCTCTGGCCCAGCTGAACTCAATTAATTCAGCTGCGAACTATTAAAGCACACACCGGGCGCTCATAAATTGAGTTTGAAACGCGACTTGCGAGCAGCCGCACATGAGTCAATTCTCTGAGGGGAGTTGAAAATGAATGAATATTTCATACGAACCCAGATGCAGATGCAGAGATGCAGATACACACGTTTGCTCCCACCCACAGCCCCTTCGTCCCTAGGCCAATAAACCGTTGCTAGCCATTAACAAACTGTTTCGATTGTATTAGCTCCGTGCCAGCAGATCTCTCTCCAGCTAATTCGTTGGAGTTTGGATTTTGATATGGATTTGGATTCTGGCAATGGTGAGATTCACCTGCCCGCATGACACGGCTGCGTCTCACTCATCCAACTATCCGTTGTCTAGGGCTCGCTTGCTTTCGCCCTGCTCAGTTTGTCTCTGTTTAGCTCCCTGGCTGACTAGCAAATATTTATTGAACACGATTTGCTCGTTAGGCGAACGTAATATACACACACTCATACACGCATGCATACACTCTGTTTTTTTTTGGCTGCTGTTTCGCCTCTCTCATTCGTTTTTCGCTTTGATTCATTTTGTAGCATTTTTCAATTTCTTTGTATTGAATACTTTCCTTCATTTTGCCGTCTGCTTGCTTTTCTTATTCTTATATACATATATATATTTTTCTCTCTTTTTCCTTTTCTTGTAGCGATTTCTATCTACGACGCTTCTCAGCTGCCGAACGATTTGTGTGCAAATTTTCCACTGTCATTATGCGCATATGTGTGTGTGTTTGTGTATTGGTGTAGGTGTGTTAGTTTGATATTTGGCCTAGGCCAGGCGAGCAGCTATGCCAAAAGAAACAGTTAATAAAATCCCTTGACTCGAAGGCGTTTACATAAGCTTTTAGCAAATAATTGAGTGTGCGTGCCTTTGTTGTTGTTGTTATTGTTGTTGCTGTGGCTGGCACGTGTGCCGTGCCGGGACGAAAATTGTACGGATTGTTCCCGGCACTGGCATGGCCAGCCACTGCCCGTGGCCAGTGGGCGGGGCCAGGCACCTTTGCGACCAGTGTGCGGAGTTTCGGTTTCATTTCTGTAACTGGAAATTCAATTGAATTGGCAAAAATTGTTGTTTACATGCCGATTTGCTTGTTTGATTTATGCAAAATGGGTGCATATGTGTGTGTGAGTGTGGGTGTGTGTGAGCTCAATGTGCGCCTCGAGATTTAGCCAAACAATCCAGCTCCGAAATTAGCCAGTGCGCCAAGCCAGGCCAACATCCATTCGGCCGTTCATTCCAGAGAGTCTACACTTTTGTGTATTAAACGATATTAG